AGAGAGAGAGAGAGAGAGAGAGAGAGAGAGAGAGAGAGTTCACGAGTGACTCCCTTTAGATCAAAGGAACCAGATAGATTAAAAGTGAAAAGATGTAAAAGATAAATTGTAATCAAAGAGTATAACAATTGATAATATCAGGCAAAATCTGACTGTAAATCAAACAACATTACAGGAAACAAGGCAGGCTCTTATATAAGGATAACAGTCACCTCATAAGGAGATACAACTACCAAAAGGTCAAAGAAGAAATCATTAAAAAACAAATATCTTGAGATAGATGAAAATGTAATGTGCCAAAATTTATGGGATCCGGCATAAAGGGTACAAAGAGGAAAGTTTAGAGTTGTGAGTGCTACTTTTTAAAAAAGAAGAAACCCCCAGCAACAGAAGGAGGAGAAGCAAGAGGAGGAAGAGGAGGAGGGCGTGTAAGCAAAACCAAACTTTACATCTAACTGAAAGAGAAAAAGAACTAAACCCCAAATTATAGGAAGAAAAGGAAAAATAAAGTGTATACTGTACCACAGAAAACCAAAATAGTGACTAGGAAAACAATAGAAAAAAATCAACATAACTACGAGTTTTTTCCAAAGGTCAAAAAATTGACTAATGGGCCAGGGATTTACCTCAGTGGCACCACACCTGCCTTGTAAGCACAAGGTCCTGAGTTCAATCCCCAGTACTGAAAAGAAAAAAAAAAAAGGCTATCACTTAGCTAGATAAACTAAGGAAAAAAAAGAGAGAGTCAAATAACTAAAATCAGACAAGAGGAAATATCACAATTAATATCACAGAAATAAAAATGATCTAAAAAACTGCTATAAACAACTATCAACAAACACATAGGATAATGTAGAAGAAATGCATAAATTCCTAGAAACATACAACTACTGGAAAGAGATGAATCATGATGTAAGACTGAAACATGAAGAAATACGCTTTAACAGTTTTGTAACCAATAAAGTGACTGAATTATTATTATTATTATTTATTTATTTTTGTACCAGGGATCGAACTTGGGTCCTTGCGCTTGCGAAGGAGGCAGTGAAACCACTGAGCTAAATCCCCGGCCCAAAGTGACTGAATTATTAATCACAAACCTCTTCACAAAGAAGAGCCTAGGACACATAGATGGCCTCACTAGAGAAATCAAAAAACTTACTAAAGAATGGTCACCAATTTTCCTCAAATGCTTCCAAAAAATTGAAAAGAGATTTCCAGATTCATTCTATGAGTCCAGCCTTACTTTTTTACCAAAACCAAAGAAAGACACAAGAAAACTATTGACGAGTGACTGTCTTTTCTGCTCACAATGGGCTGTATTTTCCTTCTTCACAGGCTGCAATTTATTTGGATGCCAAACGTTGTGAATTTTCTATTGTTTGGTGCTGGAGTGTTTTATTTTATTTTTTTAATTCCTACAATATCTTGAGCTTTGTCCCTCAATGCAATTAAGTAACTTTGAAATAGTTTGATCTTTTCAAGTCTTCCTTTTAAACTTTGTTAGTTGGGACCAACGCAGTTGTTAGCTAATGCTGGTTTGGCCCCTTTAAATAGCAATACTCTTCTAAGAACTTGTCATGGTTTATATCTGGGTGTCTCCCCAAAGCCTCATGCCCTCATAGTGGGGCTTTGGAGAGGTGATTGGGTCACAGGGGCGTGATGCTCGTTGGTGGATTAGTCCACCAATGAGTTCGTAGCTAAATGTGATTTGGGAAGGGAAGCCTGGTGGGAGGTGGTGGGCCCCTGTGGGCATGGCCTGAAGAGTTTATCTCCTTCTCTCCTCCCTTGATCCCTGGCTCTGCTCTGCTTGCCATGCCATGGACTGTTTCTCCTCTGCCCTGCCTTGGAGCCAGTCCACTGTGGACTGAAACTTCTCCAAACTGTGACCCATAATAAAGCTGTCCTCCTTAGGAGTTGTGGGTGTTGGGTATTGTGTCCCAGGAATGAGAAAGTGACTCAGACAGTACTTCTGTTCAATGCCTCATGGCTGTGGCATTCTGTTATTCTGGATGGGGAAACACAAATTACCCCTGGCCCAGCGAGGCCTCCAAGGATTGCTCCACATAGTTCCTCCTGGTGGTACTTTCCCTAGCCTCAGGGGTTTCCTCACCAGGATATCTGATCAATGTGCAGCTGTAGACCTGAGGCAAGTGAGTCCTCCATCATCTGTGAAGCTACTTCCTGTGCAGTCCTTTCATCTCCAGGACTGGAGATTCTAGCCACCTGCACCTTCATTCTGTCACTTTCAACTCAGGGAATCCACAGGGCCCACAGGCTACCCCTCAGGCACCTGCTAGACAGCAAGCTGAGACAAGGGCAGGGCTCACCTAGTTTGCTTTCCTTCTCCTGGGGAACTCGCCCTGAGCTTCCTGTTGTCCAGTGTGTGGAAACCAGTGTTGCATGTATGTTATTGGGTTTCCTGGTTAATGTGAGAGGGCAAATCCAGTTCCTGCTACTCTGTCATGGCCGGAAGCGGAAACCACTTAATCCTTTTTAATCCTACTCAATGACCTTACTCAGAGGCTGACATCCAGTAATGAGGCAAACAGGTCTGTAATTAGAGCATGCAGCAAGGCAATTATCCATTACACAGCAGTGACATTTCGGTTTAGGTTTTGGTGCTGAGGATTGGACCTAGGACCCTGCACGTGGAAGCATGTGCTCCCACTGCATCAACACCCCAGTGGTGCTTTGTGTTATGTGTGAAGAAGTATACCCCCTTGCATGTTTTTTAAAGAACATTATCTTGCTGGGTCTGAGGTGCATACCTATAATCCCAGCACTCAGGAGGCTGAGGCGGGAGGATCACCATGAGTTCAAGGCCAGCCTGGGCTACACAGTGAGTTCACAGCCAGCCTCAACTACATAGCAAGATCCTGTCTCCAAAAAACAAAACAAAACAAAATGAAAAAAAGGAAAGAGAAGGAATCCAGGAATAATTTGTGCTCCCACCAGGCAGAATAACAGAATGCCACAACTGTGAGGAGAGAGGAAGAAGAGGAGGAGGCGGAGGAGGAAGGAGAAGAAAGAGCCCTCATGACTCTGAACCTGCTGGCACACTGATCTTGGACATCCGTGACTCCTCACCGTGAGAAATTAATTTCTGTTGTTTATAAGCTACTCAGCTCCCCCCACCCCGCCCTGTACCGAGGATTGAACGCAGGGCCTTTGCAGTGAACTACACATCCAGACCTTTTTAAAATTTTATTTTGAAACAGAGTCTTGTGAAGTTGCTCAAGCAGAGCTTGAACTTGTAATTCTCCTGCCTCAGCTTCCCAGAATGACGGGATTACAAGGGTGGCCCACCATGCCTGGCTATGATAATTTTTTTATAGCAGCCTGACAGGCTAAGAAAAAGAGCCCCTACATATACTGTGTGTGTGTTGCTGTGGATTGAAGCCAGACCCTCATACATGCTGGGCAAGCACACAAGTGCTAAGCTATTCATTTCTTTGTTTATTTGGTGGTAGGGGCCAAACTTAGGGCCTGCACACTGGGGTACATCCCCAGCCCTTTTTACTTTGAGATAGGGCCTCGCTAAGTTACTATACTGCCCCAGCCTTTCAGGTAGCTGGGATTACAGGCCTGCACCACCAAACCCAGCATTTTCCCCTCTTACAATACTGCTAGCAGAGCTATCAGTGCTGAGTTGCAGAGCTGAGGCCTGCTATCTTGTTTATTTTCGAATTTAAAGAATTGTGACAGCGGTATTAAATTTTAGGACAACTTAGGAAAGAGAAACACCTCATTATTTTGGACTTACATTCAACCTGTCACTTTGAAGACTGTGCTAAACTTTGAATATGAGTACATCTTATTTTAAGACCTAACACCCTAAAATTGCTCAGTGACTCAAGTGTGCTATTAGAGAACTCCTAAGTAGGAAATACCTATTACTGCATTTTTCCTAGTGAAAGGAGAAGCAGCTGAGCCACTGCACTCTATTTTGTTGTGTCCTTCTTTGTTTTAGGATCACAGGGTCACTTAAAAACGTGGCCCGACTCTTCCACGAGCACTGTTCTGCCATCCACCCAGCAGCTGAGTGTGATGTCCTCCCCACACAATATGGGAGAGAAAAACGCTGGTTGTTTCAGAATCCTGAAATATGTGTGAGAGAAATAAGTGGCCTTCATTTTGCTTCTGGAAACTTCACATCTCCCAGCTGGTAGTCAGCAACCCATGCAGGTTGAACAGGATGAGTGGAACCAACAGGGTGCGGGGCTGAGCCCAAGGCGTGGGGAGAGAACAGGGCCCCCGCATAGGACTCGCAGGGGACCTGGCAGCAGCCCTCCCATGGGAGTCCTGTTGCTCATCTTGGATTTTGCCAAAGTTGGGAGCAAAGAGTTCCAGCGCTAGCTAGTTTTTTAGTTTTGTTTGCAGAAGCATACATTATGGAACAGCTGACAGAGCGAGGACACTGTTATTCACAAGAATTAATCAGGTTCAGTTCCAAAAAGACATTGCCTGTTCCTAACAGAAGCGAAAAAGCCAGCGTATTTTAGGGCAAAAGAGGAGGAAAGAAGGCCGAGAAGCTGCTGATAATAACTCAGGTGGTCCGTTCTCCCCTCCACCGTGACTTGAGGAGGAATCCAGCACACCGGCTGGGCTTTGAGTTCAGGTACCTGGTACAAATTCCGACCAGCGCCGTGGTGTCTCATGCACGTAATTCACAGTATGCTGTAGATCAGCGTTACCGCATAGATCTCTTTCTTGATAGGTTTTATGTACAGGCCTTTCCCCTATGAAATACCCATCATTCTCTCTTGCTCTGGGTTCTATTTCCTAGGAACTATAAATTCCCCGGACAGTGGCACACACCTTCGATCCCAGCACTCAGGGAGGCTGAGGCAGGAGGATCAGAAATTGGAGCCCAGCCTGGGTGATTTAGCCAAATACAAGACCCTGTCTCAAAAGGAGAAGGGCTGGGATGCAGCTCAGCAGGAATTCAACCCTGGATTCGACCTCAGAGCCTGAAACAGAGAATCCCCCTGATAAAGGCCATGTATTCCTGTTGAAAACTAAATAGTACCAAATTTTATCACTGTTTTTTTTGTTGTTGTTGTTGCTCAAGTTCTTTTATTGGTACATGTTAGGTATATCATACCTTTACATTTATCACTGGGTGCTTGTACCTGTACATGATGCATCTTGGTTCTCATTTTTCCCCCATTCCCTGTGCGCCCTTCACCCCCTCTGCCCTTCCCTATTTACATAGATTTCATTTCCTTTTCTTTTTTCTCAGAATTTTTCCTTTCCCTTCTTTCCTTTCCCCTTCCCCTCCCACTTCCCCTACCCCTTTGGACCTTTTCTTCCTATTTCAAATTATCAATTATTTGTTTTAATCATTTTAATCTTTATTTACACTTTCAGTTTCTCACAGTAGAGAAACTAATCAGTATTTACACATGTGTGTCCTATTTATTTCACTTAAGAGTATGGCCTTAATATGCATCCATTTAGCTATAAATGTCTCTAGTTTCTCGTTCTTTACGGCTGAGTAGTACTCCATTTTATTAAAAAAAAAACACACACATCTTTATCCAGTCTCCAGTTGATGTGCACTTGGGCTGTTTCCAAGTTTTAGCTATTACAAACTGCTGCTATGAACATGGGTGCACATATACCACTGTGGTATGGTTCTTTGAATTCTTTGGGGAAGATACCCAGCAGGGGAATAGCTGGGTCAAATGGGACTTCCAGTCCTAGTTCTCTGAGGTATCTCCATGCTGATTTCCACAGTGGTTGCACCAGTCTGCACTCCCACCAGCAGTGGAGCAGGGTTCCTCTTTCCCCACACCCCCGCCAGCATTTGTTATTGGTTGATTTCTTGATAGCAGCCATTCTTTCTGGGGTGAGGTAGAATCTCAGCATTGTTTTCATCTGCATCTCTCAAATGACCAGTTGTTACTGTTTTTTAAAAATCATTTTCTTGGACCGGGGATTTGGCTCAGTGGTTTCGCCACCTGCTGAGCAAGTGCAAGGACTCGAGTTCAATCCCTGGTACCAAAAAAAAATAAATAAAATAAAATAAAATAAAAATCGTTTTCTTCTTGTTTGTGTTTTTGTTTTGCTGTGTAGCACAGACTGGCCTTGAACTTAATATATAGTCAAGGCTGGCCTCAAACTCATATCCATCCTCCTGACTCAGCCTCCTGAGTGCTGGGCTTACAGACATGAGCCACCAGGCCCAGCTGAAAAATCATTTTCTCTTTGAAAAATAGCAATATGGGGCTAGGGATTTAGCTCAGTGGTTCCACTGCCTGCCTCGCAAGTGCAAGGTCCCAAGTTTGATCCCCAGTACCAAAAAAAAAAAGAAGAAGAAAAATAGCAATATGGTTACTCAATTAAAATTTGAAAAAGAAGTTCTAATTTGTCAGATAAAGATTAGAATTTTAAATAGAGTTCAAAGTGAACTAAAAAAGCTAAACAAGGTTGTTTATGAGAGCACGTTGCTACGAAAGTTCTAAGAAAATTGTTGGAACATTTCCTGATATTTTGATAAGGAAATTATTTAATACAGGCAAAGATACACATAAAACAAGATGAAGAGAACAGTGAGAAGAGGTGAAATCTAGGGAGTTAACTAATACTTTTTAAAGGGATCAATCATGAAATATGCTGTTTTCCTCCTTCTCCCTCTGTCTGAATATTTTTGTCTTTATTGTAAATGTCCTAAATGATCAATATAAAAATACTGAAGGGCTGGGGATTTGGCTCAGTGGTTCCAGTGCCTATCTCGAAAGTGCAAGGTCCTGAGTTCAATCCCCGGTACCAAACCAAACCAAACAAAATGAAAAATACTGAAAATATGGAAAAGTAAAAGGAAGAGTTCCAATGTGAAGACAACTATTAACATTTTAGTCAACCTCCCACAGTCCTTTTTCTAAAAATAAGTGGTTTTTTTCATTTATAAAATCTGTTCATTTTCATGGTTGTTTCATGGTTTTCATTGGCTGGTTTCTTGAACTGCATGATAACATGTATTTTCCCATGTGATTAGAAACACTTAGGAAAATAATTTTAGAGTGAGCGTGGTGGTACACACCAGTAATCCCAGCACTTGGGAGGCTGAGGCAGGAGGATCACCATGAGTTAGAGGCCAGCCTGGGCTACCTAGTGAGTTCAAGGCCAACCTGCATAGTGAGACCCTGTCTCAAAAAAAACCCAAAAACAAATTAATTGCTTCACAATGTGTTGGTAGGAATGGTCATATTATTTACATATTATTTTAATGTGTTATTGGACATTTATTTAGTTCTTCCTTTTGCTATTACAAACAGCTCTACAATGCACTTTTTAGGGTATATAAAATATCTTTCCTATTTGGACCATCTTAGAATGGAATCTGAAATAGGAAATTACTAGCTCAAAAAGCATAAAAATCCTTGTTTTCATTCTACTTTGTATCACTTTCTACTTTCCTTTTTTTTTTTTTTGTACCGGAGATCGAACTGGGACCTTGTGCTTGCGTGGCAGGTGCCAGAACCACTGAGCTAAATCTCCAGCCCTCTACTTTCTTTTTAAGAGGGTAGAATCCACTTCTAAGACTGCCAGCAATGTGCGTACAAAGCAGCTTTTGCCAGTGTGGGCACAGCCCCCACGAGTGTGTAAATTTGCATAGCTTTGATTATTAGTGAGATGGAACCTTTTCCCACTATTTGTTAGACAACTAAATTTCCTCTTTTGTGAATTTCTCCTCTGTCCTTTGCCTGTGCATCCCTTGGGGTTTTTGCTATCCCTATTTACATAGAAAGCTCACAAGCCCTGCTCAGACAAAGGGCTTCTGTGTGCAACACCACGGACCGGACACTTCCCCTGTTGGGTTATTACAGACTCGGCATTCTCACAGCAATAGGAAGGGGACGCCAACAAAACAAGAAAGGTAAACGACATGTTTCTCTGCCACAGGAATGAAACAGGGCCGTGTTATGCACTAAAAGGGCTGTACCTTCACCTAACCCAGCACTTATTTTAATATCGGATATTGTAAATGTCAACCATTCTTTGAACATCTGAGTGCAGATTGCGTGACACCAGGACTGCCTCTCCACGCGAGTCACAATGTGGAAACCATGATGATCTTGCAGCCTGCTGTCATTCCGGGCTCATCTTTTAAAATGACTTAATTAGATGTAGGTTGTCAGCCTTTATTATATAGCTGCTTCCTGCAAGGTTAGCAGCTGTGTATGTCATTTTTCTTCTGGATACAATTACAGCGAGTACAAGGGGGAGACATAAATACAGACTGCCTGGCTTGGAATCGGAGGTGGATCTGCTGAACTATCTTGGGCTCAAATAACAACCCCCCACTGCCCAGGCCAAGCTTAAGAACAGCAAATAGGATGCAAATGCTGGGAATGACTGCGACTGCTTGGTCCCATTTCATCAGTTAAGGAACTTTCCTAAATTTATCTATCAAAAAATAAAGCAAAAGGGAGTTAATAATAATTATTCTTCCTACCTAAGGGGTGGCTTAAAGATTACATAATAGTGCTGGGGTATAGCTCTGTAGCAGAGTGCACGGGTGAGGCCCTAGATTCAATCTTCAGTACCTTAGAAAGAAGTTATTCTAAGGCCAGGGATTTAGCTCAGTGGCACTGTGCCTGCCTCACAAGTGCAAGGTCCTGAGTTCAATCCCCAGTACCAAAAAAAAAAAATTATGAGAGAAATAAAAGAAGACTGTTAAGTATTATTATGTTATAGTAGATTATTGTTATTATTGTTGGATTTTTGAGACAGGACCTTGCTATGTAGTTCAGGCTGGCCTTGAACTCCTGATGACCCTCCTGCCTCAGCCTCCAAGGTGCTTTGGATTACAGTTGGATACCACCATACCCAGTTTACAGTAGATATTATATTAAAATATAAGCTAAAACCGGGAAGTGACTTCCTTGGTCTTGAGGCCATAAAGGGAATCAGTGACTTCAGGACTGAATGGGATCTTAGAACTATCCCGGCTGGTAACTCTGTCACTGGATAGAGGACCTAGGTCATGAGAGGCTGTACCTCCACGACTGCCCCAGATGGCACTGCCAGATGATGTTGGGGCCAGGCTGTGCATCCGGAAGTCCCAGAGCCTCCCAGAAATCTCCCTAGGGCTGGGGATATCGAGAATGGCAAAGAACCTGCCTCGTGTGCCTGGGGCCCTGCGTTTAACCCATGGCATTGCAAAAAAGGGGGAAAAATTTCCTTCTACTGTCTCTCTCATCTACAGAGGACAAAAAGTGGTCAAGCACCATCAGACAAAGAATCCCGTGTTTCCTCATCACCTTTCATAGAAACTGCTTTCAGCCATGCCTGCTCCTCTATCCCATGGGGATAGTAAAACAACTACTACTTTAAATAGGCTAAAAAATATGTATAGAAAAGGTTGTGGTGACACAAGGCAAATTTATGGAAACTTAAAAAATTACACGTCTCAGAGTTTGAGAAATGAACTTCCAACAGCAGATGTGCGTGAAGCCAGAACCTCTTCCGGGAGCAGGACTTGCGAGGGGGCAGAATCAGTCTCTCCGCGGGCAAACTGCAAACAAGGAAGGAAGGTCACGAAACAAAGTGGAACCAGTTTGACAGAGAGTGCGCAATCTTGCTTTGCTTTGACAGACTGACTAACATGAGAAAATAAAGTTGTTAAGCACTAGGGAAGAGAAGCACCCCACAAAAGCAGATCTACCGTTTTCGGTTAACTGTTTCAGTGCGGGGTATGGGAATCTATAGACACAAGCATGAGCTGCAGACAGGGACTTCATTAGCAACACAACACTTCAGAGGACCCTAGAAAAGATGGGGAACAGGCTGTGTGCAGCTATGGGAAACTGTTTTAGTAGGTGCTTGCAAATGGTCAAGCGTTCAAAAATATTATTATTATTATTATTATTGGTATTGTGGATTGAACCCAGGGCCTTGGCACTGAGCTGCATCTCCAGCCCCTTTTTTATTTTGAGATAGGGTCTCACTAAATTGCAAAATTGCCCAGGCTGGCTTGAATTTGTAATCTTCCTACCTCAGCCTCCTAGAGGACTGGGATTACAGGTGTGCACCACCATGGCTGGCTGTAATTATAAGGTGTGTTAATGATAGAGCCGGTGGTACACATAATCCCATCATAGCACCCAGGAGGCTGAGACAGGAGGATTGTTGCAAGTTCAAGGCCAGCTTGGGCTACATAGTGAGACCTTGCTCAAAAAATCAAAATAAATGAATGAATGAATAGATGAATGGATGGATAGATGAAGGGGTGTTAATGAAGCTACATGCCCAGATGGGATGCTGACACACAATTTGTGAAAGCCAAGGGTGAGGGTTTTTCTTTTTTTTCCCCCAATTTCTTTCACTGTTGCACAACTTCTGTTTTCTTTCATGTTATTTTCTCCAAACCTAAATAGAATTTGATATATATTTAGACATGCAAACAAAATTCTCTTTTGCTGTAGAGGCACATGGAATAATAATTTTTAAGAAGTGTTAAGCAGAAAAATGGAATGAAAGTTCTACGTGCCAAAACATTTCTGGTGCTTTTTTAGAGTAGTGATATAATTTGTCTATGTTTATTCCTTTCATTGAAATACATCTTTTGAACTTAGCACACTGGATACTCAGCAGATGTTGGAGTGGAGAGATGGTGCAGTCTGCTTTCTCAGATCTTACAGTATATGCAAAGGACAGGAGCTTTACTGCAGCTCTAGATTTGAATGTGGTAAAATCCTGACAATTCTCATTTCTGTGATCGCCACCAGGAAATGGACCCTAACAATATATCAATTTCACTCTCTTCTTCCACAGACCTTCAAACAAAAGCAGAAGACAAAGCAAAGAACGCTTCAAAGCTTCACAGCTTTACATCTCCAAGATAAAAGTGAAGACTATGCTGTGATTCATCTAAAAGACAAAGAGAGCCAGGTGAGGCCGTACAGGCCTGTAACTCCAGCACTCTGCATGGCTAAGGCAGGAGGATTGCACGTTCAAGCCCAGCTTGGCTGACTTAGTGGCTCAGCGAGGCCTTGTCTCAAAATAAAAAATAAAAAAGGGCTGGGGACATAGCTCACAGCAAAGGCCCTGGGTTCTACCCCCAGTGCCCCCCCACCCAAAGGATAAAAGTGAAATAAAGGCTCCATATTAGGCACAAAGTACAAATTTTCTCCAAGTTGATGCAAATAGACTCTAGAGGGGCATTTAACAAAGCCAGCCCTCTGCTCTGTGGAAACCGTCCCAGGGCACACAGTGGCTGCGTTTTGTGCTCAGCTAAGGTGCCAGTGGCCAGGCTGAGCACAAGGCGCATCCCTGAGTCACAGGGCCAGGACTGCGTCGCCCACTGAGTCAGCCTCCGCTTCCCTCCGAGCTTCCCTGGGCTGCCTGGTGTTCCAAGACACCAATGGAGGATTAAATTAAGGTTGCCATGGCAGTTACCTAATGCCATCATGACAATATCAACAGATGTCCTACAGTGCAGCCTGGAAGTGGATTTTTTTTTCCCCTTTCAAAAGCTCAGTAATTTAAAAATTTCTTCAATAACTAAACAAAGTTGATTTAAAGAATGGTAAAGTCTTCTTCTTTTCTCTCTGTTTTTTTCCCCAGCACTGGGGAATGAATCCATGGCCTCAGCACTGAGCTACATGCCCCAGTCCTTTTTGTTTTTTATTTCTATTTTGAGACAGAATCTCGAGCTAAGTCACGAAGCTGCCCAGGCTGCACTCGAACTTAGGGTCCTCCTGTCTCAGCCTCCCACGTCCCTGGAATTACAGGTGTGCACCTTTTTTATCCTCTTTAACTAGATAGGTTGCCCTATTAAGATACAACTCATCTCTTTACATAGAATTTATTCCTTCTAACGAATAGCGATGGACCTCTGATGTTGCTTATTGTATCGTTAGAAATTGAATAATATCAAAGTTGGAAAAAGATAACTTTTAACCAGTTTTTAATTTTTAATGTTGGAAGTTCAAGCTTGAGGAAACAGATCGGAATACCTTAAGTTCCAGCCAGCAGCTTGTGGTCAGAGGCTGGCTTTGTGGTGCAGTGTTTGTGCTGCCCATTGCCTGAGGGCACTGCCCGCTGCCCGTGCTGAGTCCCTGTCCCCGCTGTGTTCCAGGGCTGCAGCCACCAGGGAGAGCAGAGGCAGTGGAGGGGCTCTTACCACACCCCTGGTCCTTGTAAAAGACTCACTTTGGGGAGGTTGGGAGTTCCCCTAAAGCCTCAACTACCGAGGAGCACCATGAGTCATCAAAACGCACATCACAAAAATGCAGTGACCTCAGGGTTATTGAGATGCCTGTGCCCGGCTGGGTGTGGCGATGCCTGCCTGCCAGTTCCTGCAGGAGGGGAGACCAGGTTCTGAACTTCTGCTGAGCAGCCACCTCCTCTCTCTCCACCTGGTTCTGTGGCTAAAGGTTAGGATTCAGAAAATGGGAATTGGCTAAGCCTTGGACCCAGAGAACCCGAGTTGGCCCAAAACTTTATTGGCTAAAATGAGGGAATTCTGAAATTCCAAAGCTTTTCTATTCACAATTGCAACAAAGAAAATACTGAACCTATCAGGAAGCAGGAAGCATTATTATTATTATTATTATTATTATATTATTTTATTATTATTATTGGTTTTTTGAGACAGAGTCTTGCTAGATAGTTCAGGCTGGCCCTGAACTCACTATGCAGCCCAGGCTGGCCTCAAATTTGTGGCAATTCTCCTGCCTTAGCCTCCTGAGTGCTGGGATTACAACCATGCACCACCACTCCTGGCAGTAGGGAGCATTATTAATTAATTAATTAATTAATGCCATACTAGAGATTAAATCCAGGGCCTTTGCACTGAGCTGCATCTTCAGCCCTTTAAAATAATTTTCTTTTTTTTAGGGCTGGGGATTTTGCTCACTGGTTCCGCTGTCTGCCTCGAAAGCACAAAGACCTGAGTTCGTTCCCCAGTACCAAAAAAATTTTTTTTTCATCTTGATAATTTTGGGAGGGTACAGGTAATTGAACTTAAGACCTTGCACTTGCCAGGCAGAGATGGCACCACTGAGCTACATCCCTGGCTTTTTTTTCATCTTGAGACAAGGTCTTTCCAAGTCTCTAAATTGCCCAGGCTGGGCTTGAACTCAATCCTCCTGCCTCTGTCTCCCAGACTGCTGCGATTACAAGTGTGTACCACCATGCCCCACTACACTCTTTACTTGGCATTTTTGTTTTCATTTTTTTGAGGCAGGATGTTGCTATGTATTTCAGGTTGGTCTTGAACTCACTATGTAGCCCAGGATGTCCTTGAACTTGAAGGGATCCTCCTGCCTCAGCCTCCCAAGTGCTGGGATTACAGGCGTGGGCCACCATCCTGGGCTTCCATGAAACTTCTGTTTTGTTTTTGTTTTTTGGTACCGGGGATTGAACTCGGGACCTTGTGCTTGCAAGGCGGGTGCCGGAACCACTGAGCTAAATCCCCCGCTCCATGAAACTTCTAAATGGGCCCAAGAATCTCTTGTAGCCATTCTCAAAGACAATAATTTCAAATTAAATACGTGACTCAATAAATTTAAAAGAGACATTAGTGCTAATGATAAGACTAAAACCACTGGCGCACTGTCACTAAGTCCCCTTGCCTGAGCATCTGCCCTTCCCCGCCCTTTCCACTCTACCCTTCATGCCACTCCTCACCCACTTCCACACTCCCCAAGATCCTCTCTCCCACACTCTCACTCCTTCACCCCCTAGGCGCTTTCCTAATAGTTCCTTTTAGGGTTAGAGTTTTGCTCTAGTGGTCCTCAGACTAAATCAGAACACTCAGCCACTGTCAACCCATTGTCCTGAACCCCAACACTGACTCCCTTGAGCTCACATGACTTCAGCCTGATCACGAGCACTTCGCAACCTGGGTTTTCAGGTCATGACCAACACCTGCACGTCACAGGCTTCTAGGGCCTGGGCTGGCCTGGGAGGAGATGTTAGCTGCTGGATGGAAAGCTTCCTTGAGGTTTTTAAACTGGCCAGGCCCACGATGTGACAAGGAGCAAAGAGCAGCGACCAGCCCGCCAAAGGCCCTTCCTTAGATTTCCCCTGTCAGGGGAACTGGATTCCAAGAAAGTACAGTCAACCTCCTTTGATTACTTCAGCAGATTTGAACAAACTTCTCAACAAAACTCAGGGATCAAGGAATTGAATGGTGAGACCTCTAGCTCTGTCTTCGTGGCTGGACTTCTGGAGGCTCTCAGCACCCTGGTAAAACATGATCACAATTGGGCAGCAAAATGTTCCTCCTGAATAGCCTCCCTAACTAACCAACTCCTTAGCTAACCAAAGATCCAAGAAAAAGATGAAAACAGCTACTTGAGCTTCAGAGCGCAAGGAGGAAACTGCCAAAAAAATGGACCTCCAATTTGAAAAATGGGAGGGGGTGTGGGACATCCTGACGGCCCTACACACAACCAAAAGGCCTGCTTTTCACTAAGCATACAGGCCATTAAAAAAAAACCATTTTATGTACAAATGCTGGTTACAATTAAACTCTGACAAGCATACTTTGCCCTTTCCTTCCAAATAAAACTATGGGTGCTTTGGGGGATATTTAGAGGATACTTCTCCTACTTAAAACCAACCAGTTAGGGGAATTATGTATTAAAATTAGGACTGTACTAGTCGGAGCTCTGGCTGATGGTGGAGCTACTCTGTCTGAGGTCCTTCAATCCCACCACTTTCAACGTACCCTCTCTGGAGCTCTGAACTGACCCAAACGGTGAGGGTAGCTAACGAACCTCTGACAGTTCCCAAATCTCTCCCCACGGCTTTCCAGTGAGGCCCCTTCTTGGAAAGTCTCTGTTTCCTACTCGCTCTTTCAGCCTCTACCCATCTTTTGTTGGATTTTATGGAAGCATATCAAGCCCCTATCTTTTTTCTCCCCCAAGGGTGAGATGTTAGAAGACTCTGCCCTTTCAGAATGAGCCCCTACCCAGGGATGCCTGCATCCTCTCTTCCAGGAATTGCCCCCAGGAACCTCTGGGCACATCCAATACTGATGTTGCCCTCATCCATTCAGCATCTCCAGTTCACGTCCAAGTGGATCATAACAATCCACTTTCCAATCCTCTCCCCAAGCAAACCTCCCTCGCTCAAATTCTGAGGCTGTGGCTGGCTTACAACCTACAGTGGGCAACTTTATATTTAAGAAACTTGTCTTTACTCTCCATCAGCCCTTGCATTACTCCCATCCTGTCTGTACAAAAACCTAATGGAAGAGTGCAGAGATTGGGTCATACCTTGTTGTCCAATGGTCTCCCCAAGAGCCAATACTTTTCAGGTATTGACCTCTGTAGCAGTTTCTTCAGTATACTAGCACACCCTGACTGGCAACCTCTTTGCTTTACCTGGAAGGGTTAACAATACACTTGGAAAGTCTTTCCCCAGGTGTGTATTTGTTATGGTTTGTATCTAGATGTCCCCCACAAATCCTCATGCACTCATAGGTGGAGCTTTTGACAAGTGATTGGATCATGAGTGTGTGGTACTCATCCCTGGATTAGTCCACTGATGAGTTTACGGCTGGGTGTGATGCTGGGAGGCAGAGTCTGGTGGGAAGAGGTCGTCACTGTGGGTGTGACCTGGAAGTGTACATCTCCCTCCTTCTCCCTTGATCTCTCTCTACTTTGCAGCAGCATGCTACCAAGTCTCCTCTGCCATGCCACCCTGCTTTGGAGCCAGCCAGTTATGAACAGAAACCTCTACAAACTGTGAAGCAAAATAAACTTTTCCTCCTTTAAATTGTAGGTGTCAGGTATTGTGTCTCAGCAATGAGGAAAGTAACTAAGAATAATGAAACTCCTACCCCCTTTTCTCAAATTCTTTAGATTTAAGCTGACGTCTCCTTCCAATATGGTTCAATCTTCTTCAATATGTGGATGTGAAGCAGGAAATGGTGAGGACTCCAGACAGATAACTCTTTAACACAAAGATAGGAGCAAAAAGCAGCTTTTAATCATGCTGGCAGCTCAGCGAGTGACTCCTGTCAGTCTCAAGAGTGCTTCCTTATGTACCTCTTTTGATATCTCTGAAACTTAATTCCACTGGAGTTTCCCTGGGAACAGAGCAAGCAGGATCTACACAAAGCAGAGCGGTGGAGAATGGGAGGGCAGAGTTCTGGCAGGACTTTCTGAGTCCCTTCCGCTCCTTTGGTGACAGATTATAGACGTTGTCATGGTTACTCAGGTGCATTTTGCAAAGAGCAGAGTTACCCAGTTAACCCATAGTTGCCTAATAACACAGTTCACTCAGAGTTTCCCAATTCCATGTGGAGGGGTGGTTTCCTCTCTCAGATGATCTATTCTTATGTTCCCCGAGTTGACAGCACCCACTGCCCCATGCTCTGTCCTCTCCTGGACCTAACAAAGTGTCAAAGGAAACACTTCAGTTCTGTCAGACTTACATCAAATTTTGAGTCACATCTGGACATCAAAGGGACTGACTCTGGACCCTTCCTGACTTCAGGGCATTTGAGATTTCTCTCTTCCTCACATACAACACAGCTCTGGGTGTTTTTATGACTTGGAGGTTACTGGTGGAACTGTCCACCAAACTTTTCTTTGCTGTCCCAGCCCTTCTGCAATATACTAAAAAGTTCTCCTCTCCTGATGCTATTCTACAGCAAACAATCCTTTGAGGACAAACCAACCAAATGACTTCAGCCCCCTCTTTGGAACACCCTAATTATGAGCTCCTTTTCTACCTGTTTATTTATGAATGGGAAGGACATGCTCCAGGTGTCATCACTTAGCCCTATGGCAGGGAGAAGAGGCCAACAGGGTACCAGAGGCAGCAAGCAGACACAGCGCTCCGAAGATTACCTTCCTGTCTGAAGCCAGTTACTGCCACCTCCATTCTCATTAAAGCTACTGAAGGGTCGGGGACTTAGCTCAGTGGCACCGTGCCTGCCTCGAAAGCACAAGGTCCTGAGTTTGATCTCTGGTACTTAAAAAAACAACAACAAAAAAAAACGATTGTCACAAGATCTCTTCCGGCCGTCTCTGTTCTTTCTGAGGAAGACCTTAACTCTTAAGATGCCCGATATCTCTCTGATCATCCCCTGACCATGAGATTGTCCTTCTCTCCTCATTTCAACTCCTGGTCACCTACTGTAATCTGCTCGCTCTGCTGCCCTGCTTCCCTCTCAGATGAGGACTATCTGTCTCTCTAGGTAGGACTGCAGAGCCTCGACTGATCAGTTCCTCACCTCCCAGCGTGATCTGTAAGAAAGCCGGTTGTCTAACACAGACTAAAACTGGTGTGCAGGTTGTGTCAGGCAGATTTTCATTGCTGTGACAAAAATACCTGTGATGTGCAACTCAAAAGAAGGAAAAGTTTATTTCACCTCACGGTTTCAGTGGTTTAGTCCGTGCTCTTTGGTCCTGTTGCAGCACAGCACATCACCATGGGAGTGCGTGGTGAAGGATGACTGCTCACTTCATGGCAGCTGGGAAGCAGAGAAAAGGAAGGGGTCCCAGACTCAGTGCTCCCTTCAAACCATGCCCCAATGACCTAACTTCCTCTCACCCCTAAAGGTTCCACCATTCCCAATAATGTCACAGCCCGGTGACCAAACAATTAGCACTGAGCCTTGGGTGGATGTTTAATATCCAAACTACAACTCTGCTCAACTCTGCTGCCTGCTTCCTCTTCCGGATGGTGGTCTGAACTGCCTTCACTGATGAACTCTTCACCCTCGGCTGGACCTACAGGAATGCTCCTGGTCTACATGTGGGTCTTATCTCAGACAACCTGGAGGTCATCAGCAAGCTGGAAATACTACAGTCTTCCTGATGGGACGATGGCATCTGAGTCCCTTTCTGACGACAGATCTGTACTTCATGCCTTCACGAGAGCGTGCCTTCCAGCTAAAGATGAGGGTGTCGACCTTCATGCAGCCTACATGCCTTTGGAGTAGCACACAACTTAGGCATACTCCAGAAGCACAGAGGATTTTTAACTTCCTTGGGACAACAAATAAAAAAGAAGAGGCTGCATCCTTGTCTTTGGACAGGGTCCGTGGCTGGAAGCTATCTTTAAGTCCAGACTTACTCCTCTGCTCAGGCCTCAGAAAGCAAAGGAGGCAGAAACTCCACAGGCTCCAGCCACCATGAAAGTCACAGTCACTCCTCTGTCTAGATGGAGGAAGCTCAGCTGCTGCCAGAGTAGTGTCTTGTCATGAGCCTGGCTCATGTCCCGGCTTCTAAAGGCTTTGCTGTTTCCACAGCCTCCGCAGTTCCAGACTTATGCCACATGCTACTACAGCCCCACGCTACTTCCCCGAGGCTGAAAGGGGACGTGGGAGAAATAAGTCTGCTCGTTTGCTACAAAGTGATGTATCTGGGTGGGCCCAAATCGGTACTCTGTCCTCCCAACCAGCTGCAAAAGGAAATGTTATCCTTTTGTGGGGGAGAAGGGGAGTTTGGGCCTTTATTTTATTTTTAAATTTTATTTTATTTTTTCAGTTTTGGCCTTTATGCATGACCAGTTCACAGGAAGACTGACAAGACTGTCCAGTGGGGAAAGCCATATTACTGGAGAGTCTTACCCACCATTGCTCATCGAGTGTACCAACTTTTAAAACTACGTACCCAGTGTAATCCTAGAAAGTGACTTCATGCTTCTGCAGATCGTTTTCCCTTGCCAAATAGTCCTTTTAAAGTGCAGCAATTAGACTTTCTCCCACTCCCTGCCTCACAAGGATATAAATATATTTTGGTCACTGTTTACATGTTGGGTTGGAGTTTTCCTCTTGCTGCTAGGCTACAACCAATGTAGCAGCCAACGTCTTAATAGAAAAAATGATACCAAGCTGAGGGGTTCCCTGAGAACTTCATAGTTACTGCAGGAGTTGTTTCACAGGGAGAATTGTTCAAAACATTTGTAAAGCCCGGTCCACATGTATCAGCATTTTCATTGTGTCTCTCATCCTCAGTCTTCTGGGTTAGTGGAACAAACCCAAGATGCCATAAAACCCAACTGGCAAAAATGTGCACAGCATTTAGTTTGCCTCAAGTCCTTCCCTTAGTTCTCAATCTGTGTCCCACTGCTACAGGGAAACGTACATTACCCTCTTGAGGTCAGAGCTGGCCTGACACACCAGGACAGAGGACTTCACCAGTGCATGCTCATGAAAGGAGACTGCTGGATTCTGGACCTGCAATGTCCTCCAAAGGCCTGTGTGCTACAGCTTTGGTCTCCAGCCCCCCTTTCTCTTTCTCTCTTTGGTTCCTGGCTCCCATGAGCACCTTTGCTCTACCACCTGCTCCCACCATGATGTTCTGCCTTGCCCAGATCCAAAAGCAACGAAGTCAACCAAACATGGACTGAAACCTCTGAAACCGTGAGCCAAAATAACCCTTTCCTCTTTTTAAGCTTGTTAATATCAGGTATTTGCTACAGTGATGGGAAGCAGACTAATACAGAGACTGCAAGTAGCTTATCAACATCTTACAAGGTAACATGAACTCTGTGAAAGGCTCCTTCAGCAATGAGCTGCCAGGAGACGAAGGCTTTCCCACAAGACTCTATTATTAGACGAGACACCAGCTCAAAGACTCCCTCCAGTCCTGCTGGAAGCAACTTTGGTGGACACTCTTAACTATCCTGTGTGAAACTAAATTAAAGGGTATAGACTCATAGATTCATATTTCTCTCTTTTTTTAAAGCTTGACTTTCCTGCCACGTGGACTTCTCACTCCATCTCTGATGCTAAGATCAAGTTGATCAGAACCAGATGACCAGGACAAGAAGCCGAGGACAGCAGAGATGAACAGCAAGCCCAAGGGCCTGGACCAGGCCAGCAAAAATCCAACTTCTCATGCTCCTTCTTTTAGGATTCTCTGATCCTGCCCAGAGAAGCCCTGATTCATGGAGGCTCAACGCTGTCATTCCACCAGCAACCTGCCAGTGGCTGGCTCTGCCATGGCTGGTCTATAAATTCCTTCTCAAAGGATAATGATGCAATTATTGTCCTTATAACTAATTTCTCCTCAGTACCCCCTTTCATAGACCTCAATACGTTACCTACTGAGTTTGTCTGTATCCTCCTCACACCAAATGTGTCCTGTGTTTTTTTCTTACCCTACCTAAAGAATCACCTATAATGCTTTCTGTCCCTAAATCCAAAAACCCCATGGCTATAATAAAAAAAAAATCATAAGACTGAGTAATAGTCAAAGCACTAACATGTGCCTGTTAAACATCACCACCTTAGTTCCCAGCTCCATTAAATTCTTACAGGATTCTTTCTTCAATAGGAAAGACCCACTATCATTTCTTGGCCTTTTGGCTAAGATCAAGTGTAGGAAAGACCCACTATACCCAACCCCTGTGGGTACAATTTGGTGAGGCTCTTTTTCTTCTTTTCAGTACCAGGGATCGAACTCAGGACGTTGGCCTTGCAAAGCAGGTGTGGTGTCGCTGAGCTAAAACCCTGACTCTCTTGGTGAGGTTCTTTTACTCTTCATCTCTGGTATTCCTTTAACTTCACCTGTCAGAGTAATTTTACCCCACTCTTCTTGCTATCCTAATACCATTCTTTGGTTTTACAGTCTCACCAAACTTCTACCCCAAAGTGAGGCCCTAAACTTCCAGAATGTGTGTAACCCTTGCAGGTGCCTCCTGGTTGGGTCTTTGTGGCTACTATGAGGGCAGAGGGCTGCTGTGACTGCCTGACTCCTGGAAAATGGGAAGACTGTGCCCACTGGGGTGCTCGACGACCCCCTGTCCTTCTCCAGTTAATGACTCCAGTGGACACCACCTTACAATCCTCATCTTTGTCGAAGCAGGGCCTATTCCATTATAAATTATTGCCCTCAGGACAATCCCTCGGGTTCTGAGAATGATAGCCACATACATCTCCAAGGGTGTGACTTAGCCAGAGGGGTCAGTTCTGGTCCAAGGGCTAAATTTGGTGTTCTTTTGTTTTGTTGAGACCGAGGTCTTGCTCTGCAGTTCAGGTTGGCCTTGAACTTGGGGTGATCCTCCTGCCTCAGCCTCCCGAGTGCTGAGTTTACAGGCATGGGCCACCAGGCCTGGTTCAGGATGGGCTAGATTTGGAAAAATGTTGGTATCCTCATGGGAACTGGCATAGCCTGGAGTGAGTGCATGATCAGAAACCTTTCCTGCACTGTTAATAGACTAGTTTGTTCTACTCTCTGGCCACTGGAGCCCGAGATGGGTCTGGACTCCCTCAGCTGTGGGCCTGGCTAGCTGCACTGCATTAGGGTCCACTTCCTGTGCAGTGGGGCATCCGTACCGTCACACACACTTCATGTTGTACTTGGATAAGTACTGCTTTGATCCAAGCTGAGTTGGAAACACCCAGAATCTTAAGGTTGGCTAAGTCCCCACAGAGATACTCTCAGCAGGTTAAGCTCTCAATTCTCAGCTACTTGCAGCTGGCTGCCCTTGGCATTAGTTTCCTGCTGTGTGCTGTGTTCTGCCTGAAGTTTCAAATGATCCCCCTCGTCCTGTGTCCGGAGTGTTTGGCTTCTCCTCAGGACCATCCCAGCCCCTTTGAGTGAGAGACCCCACCGGAACCCCATGAACACCTCAGAAGAGGTGCTCACCTGAGTCAGAAACTGGAACCAACTGAACTCACCAGAGGCTTGGGTTCAGCTCTCCCAGGTATGTGGGTGCCCTCATTACACCTCAGGTGCACGAGGGCCTGACTGCAGGACGTCAGCTGCCCCACACCGTGGCGGGCATGCCTGCCTTCGAGGGTCGCCTGCTGTCTGCCGGCTTGAAGAAATGCTGAGTCCCCAAGAAGGGTCTCAAGTGGCTAACAGGGCCTGGATTCTGAGTGAAGCCTGCGAGCCAGTGGTTAGTTGTGGGGTTGCACATATCCCCTGTTCTGGGGAGAACCACAAACCCAATGTTGCGCCCCTGGCTCAGCCTCTTTCTGTTTTAGTTGCCAAAATACACTGCTCCAGAAAGGCTGGTTCTGCCACCCCAAACCTGACCCCAAATCAATCAAAACTGAGTGCTTCTCCTCTTCCTTTGCATCGGTGGACCAGAGTGGGAGCCCGGACAGGGAGTCCTGCAGGTAAGCCTTGCTCCAAACAGTCTTCCTCCTCCTCTTCAAACTTGAGATCTTCCTGCTGCAGGCTCCCAGGTAACTGGGGTTATGGGTGTGGGCCACCATGCCCAGCCCTTCCTTTTTTTCAAATATATCCCCCCACCTCCACCTTTTTTTGGAGACAGGATCTTGCTATGTAGTTCAAGCTGCTCTGGAACTCTTGGTGATCCTCCTGCCTCAGCCTCCCGAGTGCTCAGATTTCAGACGTGCACTACCATGCCTAGCTCTTTTTTTTCCTCCTAGTGAATTTTTGCTGACATTGGCTATCGCTTCTTTGCTAAAGTAACCCTTGGAATCCTTCTCATTTTGGTTGTATAAACATTTATCAAAGACCTGTCCTGCTTCTGAATGTTCCTTGTCAAGAAAACAATTAAACTGGGTGTGGCGGTGCCTGCCAGTGGTCCTGGCGTTATGGGAGGCTAAGGCAGGTGGAATTCGAATCTGAGCCCAGCCTGGGCAGGTGAGCAAGACCCTGTCTCAAAATAAAAAAAAGAGTTGGGAGGGGCCGGGGATATAGGTCAGCAGCACCGCTCCTGCCTGGCAAGTGCAAGGTCCTGAGTTCCACCTCCAGTACCAAAAAAACCAAGGCCCCAGTGTGAAGGCCTTGGTTTGAATCCCCACTGCAGCAAAAAATAAAATAAACAAAAATCCTTAACTAAGTGTATCACTTAGGTGCAGTCCACCCAGCTTATGCGAACAGAAGCAGAAGTAAGAGTGAGAGTGTTCTCAGAGGCGCAGGCACAGGTGGAGTCGGGAGCCCTGTGCACCCCAAGGCTGCAGGCAGAAGAGGATCAAAGCTACAGGCCCCTGGGAGTAGGCAGCAGCAGGAACTGCGACTGTGGAGGTAAAGAGCACTTCCGGAACCAGGAGGATAGGAGTGGGGTAAACAATGCTCCCACCCTCCCGGCCCCTGTAGCTCTTTTCTGTGCCTCCAGTCAGAAGCCACAGAGCAAGGGGGCCTACCTGGTTCGAGCACCAGGAAACAGCCTGGGCCCTGGCCTAAGGAAGGATGGGAAGGGAAAGGCTGTAGGGCAGCCCTCGGGGGAGAATCACCAGCCTCCTGAGCCCATCAGCGTTCCAGACGAAGTGAAAGTTTTGTGCATGAGCTACATTACAGCTGAATGCCAACAGGTTTTCCCTTTTAAATATTTATTTAGATTCTCAGCGATTTGGACAGTCTATAAATTACCATGTATCTGTCTGACTTGGAGCTGCTCTCACAGTTTAGGAGTCATTTGGACTGATACTGGGAAATGACAGGTTATGCTTTATATACTCATGAAGATGACAGCATAGCCAGGCCTGGTAGCACATGCCTGTAATTCCAGCACTTGGAAGGCTGCAGGAGGACTGCCATGAGTTTGAGGCCAGCCTGGGATACAAAGTGAGTTCAAGGTCAGCCTGAGCTACACATCGAGATCCTGCTCAAAAACAAAAAAAAGACTGCATTTACAAATTCTGACATTGTGTTGTTGTTGTTTTGTTTTGCGACAAGGCCTCACTATGTAGCCCAGGCTGGTCTCAGCCTCCAGAGTGCTGGGATTGCAGGTGGGCACCACCACCTCCAGCTCCTCAAGCCCATTTTACTGAATTATAGGGTGAGCTGGCAGTGTAAACACTGTGTGCAACATAAAGCTCACAAGCTGACATTAAAAGTGGCAAAAGCCCCCCTGCTACTGTGGAGCCAGAGGAATCATTCAGCAGTTCTAGAAAAATACAATTGGGATGCTGGGTCCATCCTGCACATGTGTTAAAATCCCACAAAGTCAATGTGTATTTCAGCTTTGTGCTACTAAGTTTTATTTGAAAGTAGAAGAGAGGTTACTGCCTCCCTGTGCCCACAATTTTCCTAGGGGGCTGAAGCTCCAGATGCCGTGGGTAGATCACACACCTCCTGGACACGGGACACTACCTCCCTGTGTCATCTCACACCCCCGTGGCTGCTTTCTTTCTTCACCGCCAGGTACATGTCTTGCATTCCAATCCTGGCTTCGAGGTTGGTGTCTGGAGGAACTCAAGAAAGCAGCATATTTTACTCTCCTACCTGCACAAATCTGTAAAGGCCCACCTTCCTCTACTTTCTACCAAACTATCCTTTTACTAAAAGTTGAAAAATCTCCATAGAATTTCAACTCTATCATTTACTGACCACCTGCTGTACCAGTTGCCAGGTTTGCTCCTGGCGCTATCTTAGCTGCTGCTTCTCAGATATTTCCCATCCATTCCCCTTGTGATCTTTTCCTGAAGCCAAATCAAGGACACACTACAAAGAGGAGGCTATGCCCCGAGGAGAGCGTGCTAAGATACATCATTTCATTTAAACTTTCATCCATCCTGACAGCAGCAATCATGGATTTTACTTATTTATTATTTATTTACTATTGGGATAGGGTCTTGGTATGTTGTCTCGGCTGTCCTTGAACTCATTATGTAGCCCAGGCTGGCCTCAAACTGGAGGTGACCCTCCTGCCTCAGCCTCTCGAGTTCTGGGGTTACAGGTGTGCACCACCACACAGGGCTAATAGATTTAAACAATGAAATACTGCAGGTGATTTAGCTCAGTGGCACCGCACCTGTCTCACAAGGGCAAGGTCTGAGTTCGATCCCTGGAACAAAAAACAAACAATGAATTATCATTACTGCTTAATGCCTATATCTGAGCTAAACAAAAAAGTAAAGGAAGCACATTTTTAATTTAAAGGATATAAGTAGAACAAATTATCAATTAAAATATATATGAATTATTAATTTTCTAATTTCATAGTTAAAATTTGAAGGGCAATAACTAATTTTCTTTTATTAGGCATCTCAGGGTATATAATTTTGGATAAAAAACTCTAGTTGCCAATTTATAAAGCTGATCACCCAAAGTTATATTGTAAAAATGGTGAAGTTTCACAAGAAAATATGAGTAATCCTGAAAGAGATGGAGTTCTGTACATTTGGTTACTATTGTAGTCATAATTTCCTTTGAGTTTTCTGGAAATCAAGTACACAAATCAGTATGATCAAATCCTGAAGTGTGTTAGGCAAAATGATTCACACTGCCTCTGTGTGGCCCATGGAAACAGGAAGCAGTTGGCATTACAAAGTGGGGGCGTGAAGACTCACACAGAAACATGCCTTTAGTGTTTTCCCAAAATATATTTTGCTTGACCTTAATTAGCAGACAAACGGTCCACAGAATTCTAATTTTATTTTTTAAAACAGAGGATCAGGATGTGTGCATTGTGTGCCTAAGGAGGCTGAGGCAGGAGGGATCACTCTGATTTTGAGGCCAGCCCGGGCTACATAGTGTGTTCGAGACAAGCCTACACTACATAAAGAGACCCTGTCTCAAAAAACAAAAACAAAAACAAAAAATTCCAAATTTTTAAAAAGTTTGCCTGATATGTGAACTAGTTTGATCCTTCTTCTAATCAGGTCAACTTTTATAAAACAGATGAAGCTTAAATTTTTTTTATTTTGGTACCGGGGATCAAACTCGGGGCCTTGCGCTTTCCAGGCAGGTGGTAGAACCACTGAGCTAAATCCCCGACCCAAAGTTTAAATGTTTTAATAACTAAAAAAAAAAAAAAAAAAAAAAAATGTTTTAATAACTAAATAGTGATAGCAGAAAAAGTTTCAAATTAAACATTTTAAATTTTGTTTTGGTGTTTTGATACATGATCTTGCTGTGTAGGTCAGGCTGGCCTTGAACTCAAGCCTCCTTGAGCCTCCTGCCTCAGCCTCCCCCGTGCTGAGATGACAGGTGTGCACCACCATGCCTAGCAAACATGCTTTTTGAATAAGTTATTCTCATGGTTCAAATATCCAAAAGTTCAAGTATGAACAGTGAAAAACCCATCTCCTTTGTCTTCATCCACTGAATTTCTCTAACAGTTAATTTGTCCTCTTGTAACACAAACATAAACTAATGTATTATTCAGCACCATCTTGTATCTGGGAAATCATTCTTTTTTTCTTTTGGCAGAACTGGGAATTGAACCCAGGGCCTTCCCGCTGAGCTACAGTCCCAGTCTTCTTTCATTTTTATTTTGCAACAGGGTTTCACTAAGTTGATAAATTGCCCTAGCTGGTCTTGAATTTTCGAGACTCTTGCCTCAGCCTTCCAGAGTGCTAGGATTATAGGCGTGTACCAGATGCCCAGTTTAGGGAAATCTTAATATTAAAGCATATAAAAAACTCTCTCTAGGGCTGGGGATTTAGCTCAGTGGTTTCAGTGCCTGCCTTTCAAGCCGCAAGGTCAGGAGTTTGATCCCCGGGACAAAACAAACAAACAAAACTCTCTCTCTCTGATTAGCAGCTGTATAGTGTTCAAATGTACAGCTGCATCATAATCAGGTTCCTGTTGATGAGTATTTAGGTTGTTTCAATCTTTGCAATTTTTTTTTCCATAGTGGGGATTGAACCCAGGCCCTTCCAACTGAGCTACATCTGTGACCCTTTTTATTTTTTATTTTGAGACAGGGTCTCACTAATTTAATAAGTCGCCCAAGATCCAATTTGCAGTCATCCTGCCTCAGCTTCCTGGAGTGCTGGGATCACAGGCCTGTGTCACCAAAACTGGTTATTCTTGACAATCTTGTATGTAACAAAATGCCTGAGATAATTAACATATAAAAAGTTTACTGTGACTCACAGTTTGGGGGGTTCTAGACCATGATTAGTTGAAGGCTAGCCTGACCTACATAGTGAGATCTTATCTCAGAAAAAACAAGAACACAAACAAAACACCTTATCATTTCTCATAAGTGGAAATACATCTCTGGGATAAATCCCTAGAAGTGAAATTGGAGCTTGGGAGTATGCATCCATTTGTAATTTTTACAGATGCTGCCAAATTCCTGTTTCCTCAACCCTAGTCAAAGCAGAGATGCCAGAGAGAAATTAATGCGCTTTCATTTAGAACTATACAATGCAAAGTAGGTTACCTATGAGAATTGGGAGGAAAGTAGGACAATTTCATTCAGCAACTTACAAGGTTCATTTTCACTCAAAAATACATTCAACAGAAATTTCTTCCACATCTAATCTATGCCAAGAGCTTTCAGGAACTCGGGATATATGCGCAAACAAATCAGACTCAACTCCGCATGTGTGTCAAGTTTACATTTGAGTGCTACTTTTTGGAACGCTCTGCTACTTTAGGAGAAGCCAGCTAAGTGTCAAAATTCCGAAAAGGATCTACTGAGCTCCGAGCAGGCTCCAGACACATGCTACCCGTGTTCTTTAAAAACCAACTGGAGGCAATGTTGCCTCTTCTCCGTCAGGTCCTTTTAAAACACACACAAGCGAGCGAGCTCTTTTTATCTGACTCCATCTGCTGTTGGTGGTGATCAGCATACCGTGGGCCCTGTGGTATTCTGAGATTAGGTTGTGAAATAGGAAGTGGAGCTGCGAGCAGATTTGCAAGCGTATGTGAACTGTTTCCTTCTGTCTCTTGATGAAACTTACGGAAGATAAGCTCATAGGCACATCAGGGCATGGTTTCCTTTCTGCAGTCTGTCCTTGTTTTGGTTTTAGAAAGATTACAAGGCGAATCTATGGAAAATAGTTTCAGAGACACGCAGCAGCAACACTGTAGACTGAACAAAGGCACACTCTGTACGTGGAGGACGAGGGCCTGGAAAAGGGAGCGAGTTAGAAGCTGAGCGAGACAGAAAAGACACAGAAAAGACGGTGAACGACAAGGGAAGGGAGCCGCAAGGGTGAAGATAGTTTCACGGTTGTTTAAAATTCTTCTTTAAGGGGACACCCCAACCGTTGCTATACCAGGCATCCAATCCAACCTACGGATTATTTTGATGACTTCTTTTTTTGTTTTTGGTGGCCTATGTAGTTCAGGCTGGCCTCTACCTCGATGCTGGGGTTACAGGCTTTGAGACAGAGCGTCTCTAAATTGCCCAGGGTGGCCTAAAATTTATGATCCTCCTGCATAAACCTCCGGGTTGGCCGAGATTATAGGAGTCTACCACCATACCCAGCACTTAAGCACTTTTCTAAGAGAAGATCTTAAAATGTTACCCTCATTACATTTAAGAAGATGGTAAATTACGGTTGTTATTAAAGTCTCGCCAAGATCCCGGTGCACTTTTTGCACTCTTTAAAGAACAACTGGGAGTTCAGCTGACACTGCTGCATCTTCAGGTATGAACAGCGAAACCCAGAGTGCTTCTTGAATGACGTGCTGGCCTTTATTATTCTTTCTGGTCTGTATTACTCAAATCTCATCCCGGCACCATCGCAGGAGAATCGACAAGTGGTTAACGAATGAGTGCTTTCTGAATTGCAGACCTTCTCAGTTACTTTCCTTAGGCACTGGACTTTGGAGGTAGAAGGAAGCTTCAAGTGGACACCGTCACTGGGTGGCTGGGGCAGAGCGGGGTGTCTTTGCGGGTCCCCGGGCCAGCAGAGGTCTCCTCGCCTCGGGCCCGCGTGGCTTTGGGCTCCGCGCGGCCACACCGGGATCGCAGGGCCGGGCACTGCGGCCCCTCCGGGTCTGCAGGCGGCGGAAGGCCGCTCAGGCCGGGCCAGGCCGCACCGCCCGGTAAAGGGCTCACGGTCCCCGCCCGCACCTCCCACCCGGTGTTTACCCGGCGCGGCCCGCTCTCCCGGCCCCGCCCCCCACGTGACCGCCCCGCCCGCCACGTGACCGGCTGCCCCGCCCCGCGCCGGCGCGCTCTGCCCGCCCGCCCGCCTGGCTCCCTCAGAGACCGCCTGCGGGCACGCGGAGCCGGCTGCCCGGAGCGCTCCGCCGGTCCGCCAGGCCTCGGTAAGGCGCCGCGCGGGTCCGCGGTGGGGCGCGGGCTGCGGGGCGCGGCGCGAAGGCGCGGGGTCGGTTTAAAAGGCCGGGGTCGCGCTCCGCGCCGGCTCCCGACCTCCGCGCCCGCGGTGCCCGCGCCCCACCCCCGGCGCGTGTGAGAGTGTGAGTGTGACTGAGTGTGAGAGAGTGCGATTGCGAGGCCGCCCGCCCTGCTCCCGACCGCCCGCCCGCCCCTCCGCGCGCCCCGCCCCAGGCGCCGGCCGCCTCCCGCTGAGCCCCGGAGCGGGGTCCTCGGGGCTGCACACGCTCGGGCAGCCCGGTCTCTCGGGGCGTGCGAGGAGCGGGGCCCGCAGCGCCCTCCGTGGGGCGTCCGGCGTCTCCGACCGCGGCGGCGTCGGGTAAAGGCCGCCGGCGCCGGGGCTCGGTCGCCCGCGACCGGCTGGGTTGGGACGCGGGGCTCAGGTTTATTGAGTGCCCGGGCTCTCGCTCCTCGGCGGCAAGGAATGTGGACCGCACCGGGGGCGCTGCGCGGGGGCTCACTTGGGGTCTGGCTCGGCTTTTGCTATCCTGCTTCGGCGGTGAGACCTGGGAAGATTTCGAGGGCTACGTTCAGAAATCGCGGAAAACTGCGCGGCCTTGACAGTGCGTCTTTCCCACTTGAAGGCCGGTAAATGGTGGCCCAGAGATGGGTTTATTTGCCCATACCCGGGTTTTCTTACCTGGTGTGTAGGAAGTGGATCTCGGAACGGGCTGCCTCTCTGAGCCTCATCTGCTCTGAATACAGTCTGGATCCTCGTGCAGTATTTTTCTCTTTGTTTTAACGTTGCTTTGGGCTCTAGAGAGGCAGAGCAAGACTTTGGGATCCCAGAGTAGCGCCCACGAGCACGCAGTGTGACCGTGAGCCGGGCCCTCGGGAGCTGGGCACGCTGGGCGCGCGTGTTCCAGGGCGCCTGCTGGGGAAGAGCGAAGTGTGGTGTGATCCGTGTCCCCCTGTGTACGTACGTGTGTCTTTGCCCCGATATTTATTGATAGACGTCTGCTTTTTACTCTACCAAGCACCGAAGGTGCGGTGAAGACTGCGTATTGATTCTTAATATAGTGCCACCTGAGTTGTGCTTATGTAATCATTAGTACTTTATGGATTTTTAGGTGTCTTTTTTTGGTACCGGGGATCGAACTCAGGGTCCTTTCGAGGCAGGGGGCGGAACCACTGAGCCAAATCCCTGGCCCTTTTAGGCTTTGTTTTACTTACTACGTTAGTTGTGAGGCAGCACTATGTTGAAAGCAGCATATTATTTGTAGTTAATCGTGTGCCTCTTTAATTAGAAAGTATCTGCCCAGTGTTTTTAAAAATACCCTAATGAAACAAGAACTTTACAAATTTAAGTCCGTTAAGTTATGCAAGTGACATTACTGATGATAATAAGGGTAATTTAAGATAGACTAAAATAAAACAATAGTGGTGATCTGTGAAGTCATTAAATAGCACTAATACTTATCTGAGAAAATGAACATTACAATTGTATAATAAATAGTGGCACAGAAAAGGAAAGTAAACCTTTACTTACAGTGTTTTAACAGTTTTTGTTATGACGTGAATGTGCACTATTTTATGGAACAAATCAAAGGTGAAAAGGTGCCATGCTGCCCCGCAGCACCCTTGTCCTTGAGTTTACCTTCTCCTGAGCTCTCTTGGGCCACCATCCTGGTTAATCCTCCGTTAATCGGTATGGTTGGTTGTGCCAGAACCTCGGTGGTGGCTGGCTTCACTGTAATTCAGCCATTTTCCTGTGACTTTCCTTGACTTAATATCCTGCCGTTTCCTTTCACACTTGACTTGCTTTACGTTTAAACTGAACTGCGAAATGCTGATGGCTGTAAGGCCCTCATCCTGTTGACCACTTAGGGCTTTTCAAACTGTAAGGTGCTTGGAAATCACCTGCACTTCCAGCAGGGCTCCAGGTCAGATGGATGCTATTCTGCCAAGACTGCAAGCCGCTGTTATGCCCTAGAAATATACTGAACCACCATGTGAAGTTTCTAGCGTCTGCTGGACTTGCTGGTGAACGCCTGTAATCCCAGCACTCAGGAGGCTGAAGCAGGAGGATTTCAGCCAGTTTGAGGCCAGCTTTGGCTACATAGTGAGTTCAAGGCCAGCCTGTAATACATAGTGAGACCCTGTCTCAAAACAAATGAAAACAAAGTTTCTGGTACTTGTATTGTGAAAAGCCAACCAATGGAAACAGTCAAATGAGATAAAGAAATTTATTTAAGTCAGTATATCCAAAATACTTTAGCATGTAATCAACATGAAAATTGTGGGTTTTTTGGACAGACTTTTTGAAATCTCATGTACATTTTACACTTAGAGCACATCTCAGTTTGCACTACTCACCTTTCCAATTTTCACTAGTCACATTTGGCTAGTGGCTACTGTTTTGAACAGTAGTGTCATGCCTTATAATTTACAAAATTCTTTTTATCTGTGTATTCTCATAAGGATTTGGGGGGGATCAGCAGGGTCTTGGTATGTGTTCCAGGCTGGCCTTGAAGTTACAGTGATCCTCTGGCCTTAGCCTGCTGTGTGCTGGGATTATAGGTGTGTACCACCACGCCTGGCTTCCTTCATTTTATTGACAAGGTGCACAAGAAGCTGAGAGCTAATAAATGGTAAAGCCTAGTTTTAAGTTCCAGGCCTCTGATTTTGAGTTCCCTGCTCTTTTCCCTTGTGTCACAAAAGAATTTAATATTTGAGTTTGGAGGTGTATCTTTAAAAGTTGGCTGAGCTGGACATGGTGGCGAATGCCTGTAATCCCAGCACGTGGAAGGCTGAGGTAGGATGATCACTTGAGTTCAGAATCAGCTTGGGGTACATAGTGAGTTCAAGTCTAGCCTGAACTATGTAGTGAGACCCTGTCTCAAAAAAACTCAAAAAAGCAAACCAAACCAACAAAAACCCCAAAACAACAACAACAAAATACACAGAAAACCCCCAAAACATTGGCTGAAAATTGCATTTATTTTGCTGTATACTATTGGGTTTAAAATACTGTAGTTTATCAGGGTATGATATATGAAGTGTGATAAAGGGTATTTATATTTATTATAGTAGAAGACATTGCCATTAATCTCCCTCAAAATACCCCTTGCTTCAAACCCACTTATCCCATTGTTCTTTTTAAAAAATTTTATTTAACATTTATTGGAACATTTTAGATACACATAATGATGACACTCTACCCCACTGTTGCCACTTTCTGAAGCGGTTCAGGAAGTCAGCTTTGTGTCTTCAGTGCTGCTGTTGTGGCTGCCTCAGTGTCCTGAGTTGATTCAGAAAGCTCATCTTTCATGGTCAGAGAAGAGGTTGCGCAGTGCCAGACCCACTGGCCGGGTGGATGGGGCCACACCGCCGTGTTTCTGTGAGCCTGCCTGCCTGTGTGACAGCACTGGGCAGCAGCACGCACCATCTTTTGAGCATGCCTTGTGAAGACACTCCTGAAAGAGGACTTGCAGAACTGCTTCAGGAGGTGCAGTAGCAAGAACAGTGTGATGTGCATTCAAAGGGAGGGGCCGTATTTTGAGGGAGATTAGTGGCAATATATCTTTTGCTGTAATTTAAAAAATATTTAAACATTCAGATGGCACATGCCTGTAATCCCACACTCTGGGAGGCTGAGGTAAGAGAATTGCCAGGCAAACCTAGCTTGGTCAGCTTAGCAAGAATCTTTAGTAAGAGTCTGTCTCAAAAATAAATAAATAAAGAAGAAAATTTAAACATTGACTGTATTTTTCTCAGTCACTCTGTCCATACTCCAAAATAATACCTGCACTAAATGCTAAGAAGGAGTGAACTGCAGATACATACTGTGTGGATGAGTCTGAAGTGCATTATTTCAAGTGAAACATGCCAGACACAAAGCTACATACTGTGTGATTTGTGTCTGTCACAACTTTTGCTTCCTAGAGTAAGCAGTGATAATGTGATACTCCATCTTGCTGTTTAACTTACTACTTTTTTTTCACATTTTCTCCTTGCAGTCTCAAAAGAATCTTATTTTAGCTTTAATAAATCTTATTTTATTTTAACCCATCCCCCCTCAAGCCCTCTCCCCTCCCTATGTACAAAAGCTTTGTTTCCATTTTTCCTTCTTTTTTCACTTTTTTTCTTGACCCTTTCTTCTTTTCTTCCTTTCTCCCTCCCCCCTCCCTTCTTCTCCTTCCCACATGAACGCTTTCTTCCCATTTCCCAGCATCCATTATACATCTTAGTCCTTATTTCCACTTCCAGAGAATTTCGAGGTTTGTATGGTTTATGTTTGTGGAAGTATGCACCACAGTGTGTTAGGCCTTCACTGGTTAATGGACCTTTGAGCTTGAACTGTCTGGCTATTGTGAATGTCCACATAAGGCCTTTGTGTGGATTTAAATTTCTCTGGCTCTTGGGCAAATACCTAGAAGAAGGGGTTGATAGGTCATAATGCCAAGTCTACATTAACCTTACTGGGAGCTGCTGAGTTGTTTTCAGGAATGGTTGTGCCATTTGCCACTTGCATTCCTGGGCGTGAGTTCCTGTGACATTCTTTCCAGGTAGTTCCTGAGAGAGAGCTGTTCCAGAGCAGCAGGCCTGGCGCTCCCTGTGGTGCTCTGGCTTCTTGCCTTTTTTAAGGCAGGGTCTTGCGAGGTAGTTCAGGCTGGCTTTGGACTCACTGTGTAGCCCAGGCCGGCTTCAGACTTGGGATCCTCGTGCCTCAGCCTGCCAAGTGTGGAGATTACAGGTGAGCATTACATGCCTGACCCAGCTTCCTGTCCCGTGTGTGGCTTCCCTCTCATGTGCTCCTGTCATTGCAATGCCATCCAATGGGGATTCCTTACCAGAGCCTAGCCAGTGCCCTTCCAGAATGGTGAGCAAATAAATGGCTTTCTTTAGAGGAATCAACTCTCTGTACTTTGTTAGAGTAATGAAAAACAAGACAGATAAGAAACTGTCACTCTTATCAAGGTAATGAACA